TAAAGTGTTGACTGATTCTTATGCTTTACATTTCTTAATTAAAATTTGTTTAATAGCGGAAGTTAATTAATTTTCCTAAAAGGAGTACAAGCTAATTACTAAAAGAACCTATGTTATTAATTATGCATACTTAAATATAACTAATATAGTTAAGATACTATTATTTTTTTAACATCTCTTGGTCAATACAAAAATTCAATCCTTATACTCTTTGCCTGATCCTAAGCATCCCAAAGTTGGTATTTGTTGAAAGAGTACCTTTGTAGGAGAATGTTATGTTTAAATAGTACTTGTGTTGTTCATATATATGTATATTCTCAATTATTACGTGTTGTAAAATTTAGGAAAATGTACTTGTTGTTGTTGACCTTTGCGAGGTACAAGAGAAATCTAGGGGACAGCCTGGTTGCGAGGATACTTCGAGACACATGGTGAGAAGTATACCTATAGGCCTATAGGGGTATGTGCGCTGAGTTTGGAATTTCCAATGGCTTGGGGTTGCTCCTTGTAATTGGGAAATTTCATGTTCGGACTTAGTCGCCTCGACAATTCTCTGATGATTATCATATTGGCTAGCAGTTTCTATTGTTGTTTTAACGATGTAGTTGTGCATGTTTAAGAAACTTGACTACAGAACATTCATGTTGTTTCATAAGAGTCTACATTTTATTATAATTTTGTGATTACTTATATTGTAAATTGTTAAGGTATTATGATTGCTTGTTAATGAATATATATATATATATATATCTAACTGATCCTTGTATTAGTTAAACCTCACCCTTTTCTGTTGTATTACTGTATGGATACGACAGTTAGAGTTAAAAATGATAGACTCGCAAGTACGGATCACTATCGAGGTTGAGGGGGAGGCTGAAGAAGGAACCACCAATAGTCTTATTGTAGATATCCATGTTGTCGTAAAACCCGTTCAGAGTAGCACTAGTATGCCAGCAGACACACCCATTACTCCATTACCAACTCTTATTATTATCTCTTCATCCTCTGATCTGAGCCAGATTCCCCACTGCCTGACCCTTCCACCCACACTACTCTCCATTAGGGTTCCTTGTTCATACTTATACTACTCCGTCACCTCTACCTAGAACTAGTTAACCCACTCCTAAATTGCTTAAGGTTACCTTACCTATTTCATCAACTCACCGTAAGGTTACCCATTATAGGAAAAATGAAAGAGGACCTGTCCGCATGACCACCCCTATGAAAAAGGTTAGACCCATTCCCAGCCCCATCTTATTTATTGTCCCACCCACTCCCAGTGAGAGCCCCATACAGTCTAGTGACATCTCTCCAGATTCTGATCCCTCTGAAGATGCGGATGAAGACATAGTGATTGTAGTGGATTAGAATTCCATTTCTAATGATGGAGTATCTTTTGAATGGGTGTATATTTATTTTACTTTTTGAAAAACTTATGCTGCTCACTTATGTATATATGTTCAGCATGTTGGCCTTTTGTAGTTCTATTAAGGATGGATCCACATTGTAGATGTCTTCATAATAGTCTATATGTTGAATTATGTCCATAGCTTCCAACTTGAATTAATGCATGCATATGTGAATGTCTATATCTAACACGTATATTGATTTATAGTTAGATCAATTTTTGAGAAGAGATCTTTAATTGCCTTGCAATATATTCAAAAAAAAAAATATACCAATTTTATTCAACTCTCTAAAACTCATTGCAAGTCACCAAACGAGTATATCGTAAGCCAATTAAAGACCTAGTCTTGACAATAAGGACAAGTAAAAATATTTCAAAGGTACACTGGAAGTGTGAAAAATGGAGACAATTGAGAAATCTTGGAAAAATGAGAGTGATTGATGCTCTTCTTGAATTACGCATAACAAATGAGAGTAAGAGCACCACAAGTCTCACACTTGTTTCTTGACTTATACTCCTAACCACACTTTTGCTAAAAAGGGTCGGATCGGCATAGGTTGTATTCGTGTAGCTGCGACTATCTAGCAACTATCTATGCTAAGGAAGACTTCGAGGGATTCCAGGAGCAGTGAAAGTGTGAAATGAAAACTCCAAGTATTAAGAGAGAGAGAGAAAGAGTAATAAGCTGAATAATTAATAATTGTTGCATGTATATGAACATGATTGATTGTTGTATTACCTTTGCTGTATTGTTAATTTAATTGTGAATGTATGCTTAGTAATGTGGTAAAAGCTCATCCTTACATAACTTTTCAGGGAACCAAAATGACAGCACCTAGAGAGAGGATTAGACTTATAGATAGTTCTGTACATAATAGGCTTAATTTTGTATTTAATGAATATCAATTATCAAAGGACTTTTATTTCAAATTTGTTGTGCATGTAGATGATATACCTAGGAATATAATTATGATGGAAATTGACCTATATTATAATCTGCCTTTATATTTCCCTGTAAATGATAGAATCCACTACACCCTATACATTTACCCCTATCAAGACACAATTAGAACTCCAACAGTTATGACTTACCGGTTCACATACCATGACTACAATCATCTTGGAAAGCCAACTCTTTGAACTTTTGAGCGAGTTACTGGCATGGAGGCCATTATGAATTTTGGTGATCGTTTTCTTGGATTCGATGATGATCTTGATTCGGAAACCTTGCAGAAATAGAGGGATGACATGGGGACGACTAAGATTGCCTTCAGTCTTTTTGGTTGACAGACTGCTCACTAAGACTTATTATATTTCATATTTTGTAAATGATATAAACGAATTCTAATGTATTTTGAGTTATATTGTGTAATTATCAAATTCTTATAAATTTGTTAGAACAATGTATATTAATGTTATTTCATATTTTTTTAATTGGTTTGATTCCCATTATTTATTATTTATATTTTGTAAAATTGAGAAAGAATCAACAAAATGCTTTATGTGTCCAAGTGTTATAAATTAAATTGATTGAAGATGGGTAAATCATTGTTTTTTTCTTAACATTCCTTACCTTAGACAATAATCTAAATATAAACTAAGCATTTTAAATCCATGACATACCGGTTGGGATCAAAATATATGAGAAAAGCATTTACACATCCAACTCTAAAACAATTATTCTTAAAAATTTATTACTTTTAAATGAATAAAAAAAGGTAATTATGTGGTGTAACTCTTTTCCAAAATTTTATTATTTCTAGATGTTATTATTTTTTAATTAGAAAATTACCAACTTTTTATATTTTTTCTTTTTATCTGGAAATTGGCATACTTAAACAATTTTTAAAATATATATTTCAATTTTTTTTAAAATTTAAATTACAAGTCTCAGTTTTTTGGAGAAATTTTTTAATAGAAATATATATATTTTCTTTACGAACAATTTTAAAAAAGTATTTTTTGTATAGGAAAGCAGCATGCACAATTTTGTTTTAAGTGAGAAATTAGCATAAATAAGAAATAATTTCTTTTAATAAATGCTAAGTCCACATTAGAGTAGAGCAAAAGGTCACAAGACAATTTTAAACAATACTGGTAACATAGGTCCCGTTTGAATTCTTTTTGAAGATTTTTTGTCTAAAAATAAATAAACTTGTTTGATTGATTATTTTGGGTTAAATTAATTTAATTTTTTTACAAAATCATATTTTTAAAAGAACAACTTTTACATATTCTTATTTTTTAAATATTTATTTTCTTTGAAAAAACACACAACAACAATTTATAAAATATTATCCATTTATGATATAATAAGTACAAGAAAATATTTTTTTTACATAAATCCTAATCTTCTTGGTGAAGTTAGAGATTATTCTTTTAAAGAGAGGTGACAACATTTTTGTTTATTATTTTTTTTTTGTGGTATGACTTAAATTTTGTTTGAGTAAATTTAGTGGCAAGTCTTTGTAAAAAAATTAATATAAAAAATAAATAAAACTTCTTTCATAATTTAAAAATAATTTATTTTTTCAAAATTTTTAAAAAATATGTGACAGAATTTTTTAAAACTTTTTTTAAGAAAATATAAATTATTTCTAACTTATAAGAGAAATATTTATATTTTATATTAATTTTTTCAATAAAAACTTCTAAAAAAATTTATTCAAGTACAACCCTATTTAATTGTGATTAATTGATTACAATTTGTCTTTATTTTTACATTGTTATTTTTGTATACATAAAACTTAAGCGTAAATTTTATGTAATTAATATTATTTTTAATTAAACTTAAATTTTTATTTTAATAATGTGCGATAACATCATATACTTCCGAATGATTATTCTTTATTTTTGTGTCAGTATTTTAATTTATTATTTAATAAATTATATAATAATATAAATATATAATTATTATTTTTAATTATACTTTAATCATGATTAACATAATAAAATTATAAACTGATACCTTCCCTAATTTTATGTGGAGTTCATTTCTGAATCATTGAAGAAAATGGAAATTCTAAAAGTCTTCCCTTCCGTATAAGACTTCAAACAAAAAATAGTACTATTTAATAATCGCTTAATTAAATTTTTACTCTTAAAATTTTATTAATTTTTTATTAGTCTTTCAAATTTATTTTTTATATATTTTTATTATATATATTTTTATCAAACGGTACTCTTATGATTTTTATTTCTTACTTAATCTTTTTAAAGATTATATTTTTTTTATTCTGTTTAAATATTATGAATCATTCATTTTATCTTTATAAATGTTATAACTTTTACCTTTAATTTAGAGTGATTACATAAAAAAAATGCAAAAACGTATTTTATATATATAAAAAAAACTATTTATTAAAGACTCATTTAAAAAGTAAAAATATGAATGAAACAAATAAATCTTATTACAAGTTTGTAATTATTACTTATCGACAGTAATCAGTATTAAAGCAACAAAAAGAAGAGAAAAAAGTAAAAAACACGCATAGCTAAAAAAAGAATAAAACACACGAGCGTTGGGCTAGGCCCAAAAGGCCCAATCCTCACTCGGCTTGGGAAAACCCTAATGAGGAGCTCAATATATCCCTAACCACGAAATTCTCGCGCAACGAGTAGCAGCAGCAACACAAAACCAAAACACGCGAAGGGTACTGCGTTGTGTTGCGGCGGCGAAGATGGTGTCAGGTTCAGGGATCTGCGCGAAGAGGGTGGTAGTGGACGCACGGCACCACATGCTGGGTCGTTTGGCTTCGATCGTTGCGAAGGAGCTTCTAAACGGCCAGAAGGTTGTTGTCGTTCGCTGCGAGGAGATTTGTATCTCTGGTGGCCTCGTTAGACAGAAGATGAAGTATATGAGGTTCCTCCGCAAACGCATGAACACCAAACCCTCTCACGGTCCCATCCATTTCCGTGCACCCGCCAAGATTTTCTGGCGCACAGTTCGTGGGTATGTATCTGAATCAAATGTTGTTTTATTTCTAGACTTTTATGTTTTATGTTGTTTCGTTTGAAATGTTTTGTCTTAGGTAGTCTTTTAAATTCTATAAATTACATAGTGACTTAAGGTTTCATTAAGTTCACATGTGCGAGGTTCATCAATTTAACAGCAAGTTTTATGTTTAAAATTACCGTGTGGAAATTTTCCACGAACCACGAGCGAAGATTAATCTTCGATTGTATGAGATGAAATGAGGGACTAACAGAAAGGTTTTATAATCGAATAAAATGTTCGGCTTATACAACGAAAGTTCTCATTAAAATGTGGTAGTTGTTGTTCGTGGTTAAGTTGTTGAATGGATTTTGTTCTGTAAAGACAAAAAAATGAATTGATACATTGCGATCTTTTGAGAGAAGTAACATTGATGCAGGAACTGAAACTATAAATTTCATGCAAGTTTTTGTAGGAAGGTACTATTAGGAGGTTTTTATTAGCTGGGCTTTTCCCATATATTGCTGTTAACTATTTAGGAAAAAAAGGGATCAATTTACTTTGTTGTGGGAAGTTCTGAAATTTATGTTGTCATAGAATGATACCGCACAAGACAAAGCGTGGGGAAGCTGCACTTGCTCGTTTGAAGGTTTATGAGGGAATCCCTCCTCCATATGACAAGATGAAGAGGATGGTTGTACCTGATGCTCTGAAGTAAGTTTTCTGTTTTACTGAACTTATTTTTATTGTATTATTCAGTCATTAGACATATATCGAGGCAAAAGCTAAACGTTACCCTTGGGTTACTTAACAAATAAAAAATGAGTTTTTATTTGGGAAGTGTAACAATGCATTTCTTTCCACCATGTTTTTTTTATAAGCATTTTTATTAATTTATTTCTCAACTAGTGTTGTAAGAGCACTGATTCTTCTATACTATATGAACTGTCTTTCTTTTATGATTGTTGAACTAAGTAGTGAAAAATGATACCAGGGTGTTGAGGCTTCAGAAAGGGCATAAATTCTGCCTACTGGGTAGGTTGTCATCTGAAGTTGGGTGGAACTACTATGATACCATCAGGGTAAGTTCATCATTTCTGAACTTTTGCATAGCAAGAATTTGACATGTGCATTTTCTACAAGTGATCAGCGAACTTCTAAATAGCACACACTGTATTTGTCTTATAGTTGTCAATTTCTATTATATGTTTGTGCAATTCTGTTTCCCTATTCATGTACAATCTTGAATGGGAGTGAAAATTTGATTGTTAGTTGTATACTATGAATTGTGCTTTCAAAAAGGGGGAAAAAAGTAATTGTGTTTGCTGAAGTGAGTAATTGTTTTATTTGCTCACAGGAGCTGGAAAAGAAGAGAAAGGAAAAAGCACATTTGGTTTACGAGAGAAAGAAGCAGCTCAACAAACTAAGGGTGAAAGCTGAGAAGGTTGCTGATGAGAAGCTTGGTACCCAACTTGATATCCTTGCTCAAGTTAAATACTAAGTAGAAGTCTTTGTTAGTTTTTTAAAATTTTTTATGTGACTTGTACCAAATTGAACTCCCTTTCAATTTTGCTGGAGGTTGTATTTGTCATTGGATCATAGATCTGATAATCTTGGAAGCTGTTTATTTATTTACTTGTGTGCTTTGTAGAATTTTCATGCCAACCATATAATTTCCATTTCCTTAAAAATTTCACTTACCCTTAGTTTTCTATTCAATGGAGTAATTTATCGAAGTTATTTCAACTTCGATGGAGAATCCTGCTAATTTGTTTCTGATAATAACAAAGCGTTTTGATAATCTGGTAGAATGGTCCCTAACGTGAACAAAGCACTTGATTATTATTCTAGGTAGTTATTGGTTCTATGTTTGTGTTCTGTATTGTATAACACTAGTAAAACTGAAAGAAAGTAGGGTACCTATTGAAAAAATGGCGTAACTTAATCTTATTTTGATCCTTGTGTTCATGTTTGAATTCCAGTTGTGATTTGCGGATGTCAATATTCACGCTGGATGGCAATAAGCCAATACTTGAACTACATGTGCATGTGATATTTGTTACCAAGTAATTTACACCGCACCAAACATCAATGATTTAACGGTGATTAAAAGTTGATTATGTCCTAGCCCATGAGCTAATCTATTAAGTTCTCTGAATATAAGTGAATGTCAAATTTTGTCTTAACGATCATATTTACTAATTTTTGTGCCCTTGGGCAGACATTAGTCTGGTATGGTTTTCAATTTATGGTTTATTAGGTAAATAGTTTAATCAACTAATTATTCGATTAATATCCTTTTTAGTACACCAGAATGTATTTTAAGAATCTAATCATAAGATTTATTTATATTTTTGGCTTTTGGAGCACACTGGGGTCGTAGGACATATTGATATAAGTCTGATGATGTTGCCTCACGTTATGATTGGAAAGCAGAACTCGACCAAAAGAGAAAAAAGAAAGCACTAATTCCAGCAAAAATTTAAAATGTGAATATTGATTTAGTCCAAGTTCTTTTCGGAAATACTGATTCCAGCAATATTTTCAACATTCAAAATCTGAATCCAATAACGTCCAACAAAAAAAACTCTGAATCTTAGAATTAATTTTCTATTTAATTTAATGCAATGTATTATTACTCTCACACGAAAGAGTTACTCTAACACGACGTCCAAAAAGTTGAATCATCTACCATAATAATACATTTAGAATCGTGGTATTCCTCACATAGGAGGGGTAACTATTGTGTTGTAAAATTTAAAACAATTTTAAAGAAGAATTGGATATATTTTAGTTTTTAATATTTTTTTAAAATTATATATATTATGGTTTTGTCCCTTATATATTTGGAATTTAAGTGTTTTAATTTGTTTTTATTAATGTGATCACTCAATCAATGTGTGACAATCTTTTGTTATCAATATTATTATTTATAAGTTCTTAGGGATTAAAATTGTTGATTTTTTAAAATATAAAAATCTAAAACTATAAAAAAAAAATTAGAAAATTTTTAAAAAATTATTAAAATGTAAAATTTTAAAATATATTAAAATCTTTAATAAAGTATAGTGTTTGGATGTAGTTTATAAACAAGGGTAGATAGTATTGTTGAGCTATTAGTAAACCTTTAGAATATCTTTAAGAGTTGAGTTTATGAGGGAAAGGGAGGATAAGGGAGGAGTTTGAGAGGTTTAATTGTTGTTTTGAAGTTAATTAATTTGGAGGAAAGGGTTAAGAGTAGAACTGATAAAAAGTCTAATTGACCCGACCCTAACTCTTATTTTTCTAAATTTTCCAAAACTCTTCCAACCTTGATTTTATGAGTTCTTCCATTTTGGGAGGTTTTTATTATATTAGAATATTTTTTTTCATATTAATTATTAAATGAATAAAATAGAAAAAATATTTTTAAAAAAAGTGTGATGTTAATTTTTTAAAAAAATAAAAAATATTTTTTTAAAAAATATTAATTTTTAGAGTGAGAATTTTTTTAAAATATAAAAAAATAGAAATATGATTTTTAAAAATATTAATTTTTAGAGGGAGAAAAATATATAATTTATGTATTTTTTAAAATAATTTAAGAAAAGAATAATAGTAAATTTTTATTCAAAATATATTAATTTTAAGAGCGATATTTTTAAAAAAGTTTATAAAAATAAAAACATAATTTTTAAAATATATTTCTAGAGTGATAGTGTCAAAATATAATAATTTTTAAATAAAAATATAAATAAAAAGTATAAAAAGCAATAATATCATTTATATATTTAAATTTTCTATCATCCTCTCCTCTTCAAATTAAACATCCAAACAAGAAAGGGAGTTTAATCCCCTTTTCCATCCTTACCCCTTCTTTTTTTCCCTCTTCAAATCCTTTCCTTCCATTTTTTTTCAAAATTTTAAACAAAGCTTTAATCAAAATTGTGACTGAATTATATGAGTGTACACATGTATAATTTGTTTTACAAAATAAATAAACTTTAAGTTTGATTATATTATTATATCTTATTCAATTTTTATAAATTTATTATTAATGAGTGAGAATAATTTCTACGTAATAAAAGTAGTATGTTAGTGAAAGTTATTATTACTTGACTTTTATCTCTCTATCAATTTTTCTTTTAGTTTTTACCTTAATTTCTCTTAACCTAAATATTTCTATCATATAAATATCAACTTTTGCCTGATAGTAGAAGACGTAACATGGAGTAGAAACAACATATGTGTGGCAAAAACACAGAAAGAAAAACGTACATATGTTATTTTTAATTAAAGAGATTCCTTTGTTATCATTTTTTTTAGCTTTTATAGATGTTATTCAATTGAAATAATATTTACGCATTAAAGATAAATGCTTGAAAAATTTTGGAAACTGATTCTCCGATATAAAGTAAAATAACTTGAATATTTTTGTTAATGTAACTTCAAAATAAGTAATTAATTATAGTTCGTATATCTTTTTTTTAACATATCTTGAAAAGTGGTAGCATGAGGGTCTTGTGACAGAATATGCAACATAATAAAGTAATTTAATTACAAGTTTGTTTTAATATTATACTTTGAAAAAAATCTTTTCACACTAATATAAGTTTAAAAATACTTACAATCGATTTAAGTCTTTCATTTAACTTATATCTAACAGTTAGTGAATTAATAAATTATAACATGATAGATATAAGTTAAATAAAAGATTTAAATCGAGTGTAAAAAATTTTAAACTTATACTAGTGTAAGAAAATCTTACCCCTTATACTTTTGATTATTTATAATATTTAATTTTAATATTTTAAATATTAAAATTTCATATAATATTTTATTTATATTTATTATAATTTTACACTATTTTAAGATTTTAAATTAATAATTTATTTATGTCAAACCATAAAAATGTGTGCAATGGTATTTTAAAAATCATACTTTTTAAAATGCAAGTATGACTAGTGGATACTATAATACTAGAGCCAACAAAATAAGCTTTTCTAATAATATAATTAGATTGAGTCGGTCTGATTTTACATAAAAAATAAGTTCAAAATGATTAAAAATATTTGGTTTGGTTTGATTCGATTTAAATAAATTTTCATCAATAATCTAAATAAATCAAACCAGTTTCAATTGTGCTCATGTTGGTTTAGTTTGAGTAACCGGATTTGTTAATTTTGAAAACATAAATAAAAATATACGAAAAACCAACAAAATAATATAACTTAATTAGCAGAAATTTTAGGTATACTATTAATGTAGTCTCATGTGGATTATTAATCACTACATCTACATGTCTAACAAATTACATATGACTTAATTATAAAAAGTCTCAAAATCAAATGTCCAAATATAATATGCAAAATTACATTAGTGAAAGACTTAAAAAAGTATTGTCTTCATAAAATAAATACAGGATATCAAATTCAATTGCCAATAACTCCTGCAATATTTAAGGAAAAAAAAAGAAAAAATTAAATATATTTTTATATATGTAAAATAGATAAATATAACTTTAATTACAATATGAAATGAATAAATTGTAAAAGCTTTACTAAACAATATCATCAACTTTAATCACATTCTCTTTAAATGCTATATTCCCTTGACAATTCTTAGAAAAAGAAAAACATCATATAACAAATTAAACTTAAATAAATTTTGAGAAATATAAAATTAGAAAAATAAATAAATAGAATAGAAAAAATGCAAGTGATCAATTGGATTTTTATAACATTATTTCCTCTAATTCCTAACTCATTAATCCTCTTTTGTGCCTAATTAGTTGAATTGGATCATTTTATGATGTTTGAATTTTATTTGTGCTTTATTTAATTTTTTCAGTATTTGGCAAATTTTGATACTGTTTTGGTTTTTGGACCATATCTTGAGTTGTAGAACTCCTTTCATTGTGATTCTTGATTTGTAGGAAAGCTAAGAGAAAGGTGCACAATTCCTATGAGAGGTCAGAAACCAATTCTGATGATCAGAAGTTGAAACTGGGCCTGGAAAAAGTCAGAACGCTGCAGTCGCGGATCCTGAGCAAGGTGCAGTGTTTGGGCCATATCTCAGTCCACAGACATTCGATTAAGCCCATTCTAGTGGCGTTTTGAAGCTGACATCCAAGGCTATAATTGTCCTTCAGGCCACGAACCAAAAAGAGACCGTTTTTATAGCCGAAAATTGGAACAAAGTGACGAACGAAATTTTGAATTTTTGAATTTTGAATTTAATTTTTTGGCTCTTCTCTTCTCTTCTCTCTCTCGCTCTCTCTCCCCTTTATGAATTGTTTCCCTCCATCCATGGAGGCTTAAATTTCCATCTAATTTAAGGATTAAAAGGGACGTGACACTCTTGAGGATTGATCTCACATTGGCATAAATTCAATAATAATTTTGGTTTCATCTTTTTCTTATTTTCTCCTTTTGCTAATTATATTTTTGAATTGAAGTTATTCGTTTGGATTGATGATTATGCATCTGGTTGATTATGTATTATTCGATTGATGTATTTAATTGAGTTTTAAGGAACATGAATTGGATTTTTAGGTTTGAAAACTACAATTAACGGCATTGGTAAATTAAATGAGCACAATTCAATTAGGTTATTGAGTTTTCTGAATTTTAATTAATTATGTGTGATGATGCAAGATTTTGCTACTCGTTATGCACAAAGATTGTCGTTAATCCTCATCAAATATGCAAAGAAATGAATGCAGTACTAGGATGTTGTCCTAGGTCGTCTCCAAGGAATTTTTGGTTGGGAACATACATCGAACAAGTGTAAACATAAAATTTAAAGCTAGTAAATT